TGAGTCAAAGTTGGAGAAAAAGGGTTGACTTTCCATACTTAGAAATATTTCAAATTCTTCTTAAAAAATGACCTATAATGTCTTGCATCCAAACATGGTCTTCCACTTGGAATTTGCTCTTGACCAAAAAATATGACATGAAGTAGATCTCTTGAATGAAATTTTGAAACTTTAATCATTCAAAATATCCAAAATTTGAGCAAGTTATGACTTGTTGAAGTTGGCAAAAAATCATGAAATGACCTATAATCTTTTGCATCTTTAAGGCAACTTCCATCCATTTTCCCATTTTGCACATAAAAGAAGGCATAAATTTCACATCTTCAAGATCATTATGTAAAAAGAATAGACTCAAGGTGATGGAAATTGACCAAGTTATGAACATTTGAAGTCACACATGGGAAATTGGGGATTCATCTGGAGGACTTGTAATCTTGCTTCCTCCTCAAGTCTCTTCCTCATGAAAACTCCTTGGAACTTTTAAATTGATTTTTTGATAACCCTTTGAAGAGAAGAATGTCTTTGGAATCACTCAAAAATACCAAAAGGTGAGCAAGATATACCCCTTTGAAGTTCAAAACTCTAGCTCCTAAATCAAGAAAATGCTTTGAGGAACTTGGACAAGCTTGAACAAACTTCTTGTACCAACATTCTTGCTTTGTGAATAGAAGTTGTTTAGGATGATAATGAGAACTCTTAGCCACCAAAACCACTTCCATGTCTTGAGAATTGAGAGAAATATGCTCTTGTGGCCAATAGGAACAAGGCCTTGTCCAACATGACAACTTCTTCAATCAACCCTTTATACTTTTGAGTCAAATCTAATAACCTTGAAATGTGATGAACCAAAACAACCTTGTCATGCCAACTCTTCAAAAACTAATCCAATGGTGAGGTTTGAACTTCTCCAGCTTTATTGACTAGGACATGGAAATAAACTCATGAACCAATGGGGTAACTTGTTAAATCTTATTGCCTTTACCTATATGGATAACAAGCAAGACAAACTAACATTGCATTTTATTAGTTAAGTGAAGAAATAAAAACAATATTCATGATCACAAAAGGAACATAAGTCAAGGTGCTTAGTAATCCCTCAAAAGGGTAAAAGTAAATGTAGGGAGGGGAACCAAGAATCCTAGTGTGATCTTGTTGTGAATGAATCAACATGGTATGATGAAGGGATCTTAGGGGCAAAAACGGAGGTACAACAGTACCATCGCTCCAAATTTATATAAATTATTCAAGGTTGTGTTTGTTAAAAAACCAGAAAAAATAGCGAGCACGAAAATCGGGGATATCTTGTTCGATTCTCAATGAAATTGCAAACTATAAAGAGCACGAGGATCAGAAGAACACAAGGAGTGGGTTAGTCTTTTATTTGAATCAATTTGGCCAAGAAATCTATCTGAACGAAATAGTGAGAAATTGCTCTAAAACTGAACTTCCATAGATCAATATTGGTCACAATTCTTGAAAGTAACCGTATGGTTAGCTTCAGAGAAGTTCAATGAAGCTAACTGAATGGAGCTTTTGGTGTTTTAAGATGAGAATGTAAGAAATCAGAATTTCAAATTCAGAGTTTGTGTGGGATCTGAATAGGGGTCAATTGGCTATCAAAAGCTTGAAAAAAAAGTGAGGGATGATCCTTATTTATAGTTGATTATGATGCAAGGCTCAAGCGTGTGAATTGGAGGCAAAATGAGTGAAATTGTGTGGACCTGCTAAATGTGAAAAGTGTGACTTCACATGACTCAAAACGCAGCAAATTGGATGGTTTAAAGGTCATTTTTTATTATGGCAAGTTCCTAAACATGATTAAACACGAAATTGATCTTTAAACAGACTTGTAATTGAATTTAAACTAATTTTCAAATATGACTAAATTTGGAATTTCCATTTCATGATGCCACTTTCATAACCATGGTGCCAACAACGTAGGGCACCTTATGATGTGATTTTTGAAGCATTTGAAAGATGAAGTCACAAGCTTTTCAATGTGCAAGGAATGAGATCAAATGGATGTTTGAGCAAGAAGTTGCATTGAGTCAAAGTTTGAGAAAAAGGGTTGACTTTCCATACTTAGAAATATTTCAAATTTTTTCTTCAAAAGTGACCTATAATGTTTTGCATCCAAACATGACCTTCCACTTGGAATTTACTCTTGACCAAAAAAGATGGCATAAAATAGATCCTTTGAATGACATTTTGAAACTTGAAACATTCAAAATATCCAAAAATTGAGAGAGTTATGATTTGTTGAAGTTGGCAAAAAATCATGAAATGACCTATAATATTTTATATCCTTAGGGCATCTTCCATCCATTTTCTCACTTTGCGCACAAAAGGCATAAAGTTCACATCTTCAAGATCATTTTGGAAAAAGAGTGGACTCAAGGTGATAAAAATTGACTAAGTTATGATCATTTGAAGTCACACATGAGAAATTGGGGGTTCATCTGGAGGACTTGTAATCTTTCTTCATCATCAAGCTTCTTCCACATGAAAACTCCTTAAAACTCTTGAAGTGATTTGTTGATAACCCTTTGAAGAGAATGATGTATTTGGAATCACTTAAAAATACCAAAAGATGAGCAAGATATACTTCTTTAAAATTCAAAACCCTAGCTCCTAGATCAAGAAAGTGCCTTGAGGAACTTTGACAATTTTGAACAAACTTCTTGTACCAGCACAAATGCTTTGTAAATAAAAGTTGTTTAAGATGAAAATGAGAACTCATAGTCACCAAAACCACTTCCATATATTGAGAATTGAGAGAGATATGCACTTGTGACCAATGGGAACAAAGCCTTGTCCAAGCATGACAACTTCTCCAATCAACCCCCTTGTACTTTTGAACCAAATTTGATAATCTTGAAATGTGGTGAACCAAAATAACTTTTCCATGCCATTTCTTCCAAAACAACTTCAATGGTTAGGTTTTAAATTCTCCAGCCTTATTGCCTAGGGCATGGAAATAAACTTATGAACCCATAGGTCAACCTACCAAGCCAAATTGCCTTGACCTGCATTACTAACAAGTAAGACAAACCAAAATTGCATTTTATTAATTAAAGGAAAAAAATCAAGACAATATATTCATGATCACAAAAGAAAAACAAGTCAAGGTGCTTGGTGATTCCCCAAATATCAAATCTAAAGATAGGGAGGAGAACCAAAAGCCCTAATGTGATCTTGTGGTGATTGAATCAACATGGTATGATGAAGGGGTCTTAGGGGCAAAAATTGGGGTATAACAGATGGAAGCAATGGAACATGCAGTAAATGGGTGTTTAAGCAGAGTGAAATGACTATATTCGGAAAGACGGTGTCAACAACCACCAAAATGGCTTTAAAACCATTACTATTAGGTAGATTAGTAATGAAATCCATGGAGATTTCACTCCACACCAGCACCGGAACAGGAAACGGCTGCAATAATCCACTAGTAGTAGCAACATACTTTTCTCTTTGGCATGTATCACGAGCTTTGACAAACTCTTGAACCTGTTTCATCATTCCTTGCCAATATAACGTCCCTGCCATTCTTCTATATGTTTGGAGGTAGCTGGAGTGTCCCCCACTAGGAGAAGAATGGAAATATTTGAGAAAATCATCAACCATTGGGGACTTAGCTGGAATTACCAATATGTTTTTGTAAACCAGGATACCACCTTTGATGGTAAAACCTGGCTTAGACATAAGATCCAATTGAATGGCCTCCACAATTCCCTTGAGAACTGGATCTTGCATGATTTCTTGTTATAATTGACCCCCCTTGAGTCCATATCGGGTAAGACAACAATGTCTTGATCTCTGCCTCTTCATGTTGCCTTGATAAAGCATCAGCTACTTTATTCTCGACCCCTACCTTGTAAATAACCTCAAAGTCAAAACCCAACAATTTTTGCATCCATTCTTGTTGATTAGAAGTAGTGATCCATTGTTGTAAGAGGTGCCGCAAACTTTTCGGATTTGAGTACACAATGAATCTCCTACCCAACAAATAGTGTCTCCAATGTTGGATAGCGAGAACTAACGCCATCAATTCCTTATCGTAGGCTGATTTAGAGAGTTTTGATGATGAAAAGGCTTTGCTAAAATAAGCAATAGGATGCTTTAACTACATCATCATAGCCCCAACGCCATTACCGGAAGCATCACATTCAATTTCAAAAGGTAAATTGAAATTAGGCAGCGCTAAAATAGGGGCAGAAGTGGCTGCAACTTTCAGATGTTGAAAAGCCTCGTCTGTAGCCGCGTTCTAATGGAATCCATCCTTTTTAGTCAAATCAGTCAAAGGTTTAGAAATTCTCCCATAGTTAACTATAAACTTCCGATAATAACCCATCAAACCCAAAAAACCACAAACACTTTTCACATTCTTGGGAACTGGACATTGTAACACACTGTCCACCTTAGATGGGTCTACGTTAACCCCTGCCTTGGAAATCACATGTCCTAGGTATTCAATCCTTTCTTGGCCAAAGGTACACTTGCCTTTGTTGGCCACAAACTGATGCTGCAACAGAATCTTTAAAACCAAAGCTAAGTGTTCCAAATGAGTGGCCTAGTTAGTACTATATACTAATATGTCATCAAAAAACAAGGACAAATTTCCTCAAATACGGTTTGAAAATTTCATTCATCACCGATTGAAACGTAGCCGGGGCATTAGTAAGACCGAAGGGCATTACCAAATACTCATAGTGGCCTTCATGAGTTCTAAACGCAGTTTTGTGAATGTCTTCCTCCTTCATCTGAACTTGGTGATATCCGAATTTCAAATCCAGTTTAGAAAAATATGTAGAGCCATGCAATTCGTCGAGTAATTCATCTACCACCAGAATAAGGTACTTATCTTGCACTGTGACTTTATTTAACGCACAGTAATCGATACATATCCGCCAAGAATTGTCTTTATTCTTAGCCAAGATAACCGGACTAGAGAAAGCAATAGTGCTATTTCGGATCACCCCTTGCTGAAGCAGGTTCTGGACCTATCTTTCAATTTCGTCTTGATGGTGAGGGTACTTGTAGGGTCGCACACTAACAGGTCCAGCACCATGTAACAGCACAATAGAGTGGCTTGTGTTTCTAGTCGGAGGAAGACCATTAATTTCAGAAAACACGTCAAAGAACTTGTTCAATAATGCTTGAAGAACTCTATCATTATCCCTATTTAGCCTCTGGTCCAAGGTCTCAGTTGTTGCCAACACTGTAAGCCCACCTTCCTCCTCTAGCATTCTGGAAGTGGTCATCAAAGTCTAGAAGGTAGCACTTTTTTCATCTAAGGGTTGACCAACCAACTTTATGAGGTTACCCCGGAATGTGAACAACATCGATATTTCCTTCCAATCCATTGTCATCTTACCAAGAGTCTCCAGCTACACCACTCCCAAAATAAAGTTCGCACCCCCTAACTCTAATATGTACGCATCGAGAGTGGTTTCCATAACATGATGGCCATCACCTAGATTTACACCCAAAGGATTTGAGGGAACCAGAGATAAACCCAAAGCTTCAACCACTTTAGGAGAAATGAAATTGTGTGTCACACCACTATCGATTAAGACTAGAATGTTGGCCCCTTGCAATCCCCCTTCTAGTTTCATCATCGTACATGGTTTTGGAGTTAGTGATAATCCAAACACATCGAGAGACTTACATTCAAGCTCCATAGTCTCCTTCTCTTCCTGAGTAGGCTTCCAATCCAACAACCTCTCCCTCATCATTGACGAATTCATCATCTCCCAAGATGAGAACTCACAGTTGTTTCAAAGCACACTGATGGAGAGGATCCCATCGCTAATTACAACGAAAACAAAGACCCTTTGCTCGTCGGTCATTTAACTCTGATGTTGGCAAATGACGAACTTCACGAGAATTGCGACGATCAGAGCTTGTGCACAAATTACCTGTGGAAATTTGAGACCAGGTTGACCTAGTTTGAGATCCAGTCTGAGATCCAGATGCAAAGCCTGTACGTGTTTTCCCCAACTCAGCACCATTCTGAGTTGAATTAGAAAGTCCTTTCCCTTCACCTTCAAGATAGGCCCGAGAAGGTTTTGGATCCGAGCCCACGACTCGTGACCTAGTTTGTAACGTAAACCTGATCCATGATTTGAATTTTCAGTAAATTCACGTTCCACATACCGGTTGTACGGCTTGAATGTTCTTACTCGAGAACGAATGTCGTGACGTAAACTACCAATAAAATAGCCCAAAAATTGTTGTTCTAGTAACCTTCCAGATTGAGAGGAACACAATTACAATTCGGCGATGTAATCCTCCACCGTCTCAAATTGCTTCAAATCCTTGATTTCTTCGAACGGGTTCTCCAAACGACCTCCTCCAAATCTCTCCATCAGTGCTTCACATAGGTTCTCCCATGACAATTACTTCGTTAAATCACGCCATAGGTTAAACCAATGGATATAGGGCCTTCCATGCTCAACTTTGTCAACTGAATACGAACATCCTGGGAAATTCGTTGTACTTCAAAGCATGTCTCAGCATGAGCGATCCACGCCACCGGATCGTCGCCAGTAAATGCCAGCAATTCCACCTTCTTTGCCGACAGATGAAACTCACCCAACAGCGAGGTAACTGTTGCACCGCTTGCCTAAGGTGATTCATGCTTCTCCATCGCACATTGAATCTATGCGGCAATGAAAGTACGCAAATCCTCAACTGCAGTAATTCTCTGTCATTCTGGTTTGCATGAACAAGGTAGGTCGGACCAATTGATACAACAGGGGTAAGATATAGTATGATGGAGGAAATTATTTTATTAATGAATATGAAAACAGAAAGTTCCAGACCTACTGCTCCTCAGTCAGAGAAAACAATTCTCTCAATGCCAAACCCTAATATGAAAAACGGAAAATAATAACTTAACTAACTACTGTCACATACGCTCCTATTTATATGGGGAATACTAACTGAGTAAACTCCTATTTAATTGGTTTGGACTAAGGCCCAAGCTAATATCCTAACCTACTGCCACATCAGCCTCACACTTCCTTTGTAACTCTTGTCTTAATTCTTCTCTCATACAGACGCCACACCTTGGGCTCATTACTCTCTTTATTAACCATTACCTCCCCTTCTTTGCTAACAGGTCCAATCCCCTTCCTATCAGCTGCCAACTGAACTCACATTACTACAAGAACTACAAGAATAATCTTGTTCTACAGTGGTTTTAACATTACAAGGATTCTCCTTCCTTGTTCCATATAATTGATTGGTACTATTAGTGAAGGAATAATGCATGTATTTTTCACCCATATTATTCTGTGGGTAAGCAATAGCATCTACCTTTTCCATCAATGGAGCAGTGGATACTGCTTTGAACCTTTTAGACTCACCCATAATCACACCAGTCCTCTTTTTTCTGGGATAATCTTCAATACAAGATGAGCGATGAGAGCATGCTCTTTTCAAAGGTGAAGGTGAGGGTAGATAGAGATAGCTGACATCCAATCCTAGTGAACAAACATTGTTAGCTTGCTGAACATCAGGCATCACTTTATAGTTGTTTGAAATCAAATTCCAACTAAACTTCATCACTCTAGACTTGGCTAGTACCTGGGACAAAAACAAGAAAATAAACTAAGAAAAAGGCCTGGCGAAATTTTCAAAGTAATGATGGGAGATAAAAACTAGCACAACTCCCAAGAACTAACAATGTTAATTTGAAGCAATTTACACAAATAAGATAAATTCTACCACTAAAAAACTACCAAAAAATTGAGAATGCATGCTAGTTTGAATTCAATATTTGAAATAGAAAAACTTGATAAGCAACAATTACCTTTGGACTAATGATCCATTGACCATTTTCCCATGATTGGCACATCCTCAAGTGAATTTCTTGGACCTTCAGCTCCATGAAAAATCCGTGCAACGCTACCAAGTACCATTCTCCAGTCATGCACTTCAATACAATAGCTCAGCATCCGTCATTCCAAACCTCCACGGAATCATTAACTTTCCAACCCTCAATATTTTTCATAGCAGGGGGCATGGTCTGATGGCCTTCCTTGGAACCCTCCTCGAAAAAGCCTTATCGTTTGCACTAGAATGGACATACTTAACATTGTAAGTGTGGTTGTTACCAGAAGTAATATGGGCACCATGCCATTCTACTCCCAGTCTCAATGTATTGACAAGGATCTCTACTTTACTTCCTTTTATTAATCTCATGGTGAGAACTTTAATTCAATCTTGAACCTGTCACAATGTTATATAAATGTAAAATGTTATTGCCATACACAACTCTCAATCATAATCAAGACAATTTCAAGAACATTCATCTATCATTAGGAAAAGAATCATAGTTTATCAAACTATTAGTATAGTATTCATGGAATGAATTCTTTGAATAACAATCTTCCCAAAGTCAATTATGTAATTACTACAATGACAAAAATATATAGGCTACGCCGTTGCAACGACAAAATCAAAAGAAAAAAAACACCCAAAAAGAATTGTGTGTATGTAAGTTGAAACCTAGATAATTCATCGCTTATTCATCACGACTGTAAATTTTCCAGACATCGTATTCTTTACTCAATTTTCCAGATATCAATGAAGCTTCCATTATTTGAAAAACAATAATTAGAGATTCAAAATAGACACAGAAATTCATAAACAAAAAGTAACAAATAACAGATCGTGAAAACCGATAGAACAAGATCAAAATTCACGAAGGAAAAAACCTAAAATCGAATAGACAAAACGATTACTGAAAGAAAATACATTAACCGAAGCAATTGAAATAAAAAAAAGTTGAAAGAAGATTGATGCTACTAACCTTCCTCGGCGTTTGTGGTTGAAGAACTCGGATAATCGTTGAATGAATCGTTTTGGTGCGAGTGTTTTTCAGTATTCCGATTGCAACGAGTATTGAATGAACGAGCAAATTGCTACTACAATTTTCTGGCTTTCAGCAATTGCAATTCTTTGATGGTTTGTTTAAGAGTGGATTGTGTTAAGGTTTTAGGGTATGTTTAAATCGAGGTTGATAGAGGGGAGAGAAGGGGAGTAGATGTAACTAATAAAATGTGTATGGATCAATTTTAGAAGCGCAGACAAGGGGATGGAAGACAAACAAAATCTCTTTAAATTACACTAAGTCGGAAGAATTGGGAGGAGAGATAAAAAATAATAATTTTTTATATTTTATGAATTAATATATTTATTAAAATATTTTCAATTTTATTTTAATACTTTAAAATTATTATTTTCTTCCGTATTTCTCCTTCTTTCTTATGTAGTTTTTCTCTATTATTTTCATCAATTTATTATAATCATTTTTACTTTCAAATTAATTTTTTATTTAATATAAATTATAATTACTGTAATTATTTTTTTATAATTTTAATTTTTATATTTATTTATATTAGTTTTTTCTAATTTTATTATATATTCTATTATAATTTTTATATAAAATTTTAAATCATTCATTTTTTATTTTATATATATATATATATATATATATATATATATATATATATATATATATATATATATATATATATATATATATATATATATATATATATATATATATATATATATATATATATATATATATATATATATATATATATATATATATATATATATATATATATATATATATATATATATATATATATATATATATATATATATATATATATATATATATATATATATATATATATATATATATATATATATATATATAAATATTTACTAATAATAATTTAATTTTATGTATTAAAAATTATTAAATATATTATTTATTTTGTGTCGAGAGTTATAATGTTATGTGGTAAGTTATGATTTTTTTAATCACTCAATATTACATATTTTTGTTTTAAAAGAATATATATGAATTTTTCACTTTTGAATATTATATCACTTATATAAAATTATAGAATTTTTTTTGGAATAACTAGGTATTAAAAAAAAATTCGCAAATAACCATGTTTCGGAGAAAATTACGCAAATAACCATGTTTCAGAAAACCCCGCAAGGGAGGAGCCAACCCAGTTGGGGCATCCACTGTGCATTTTTTCCTAGGCGCCATCCCACTTGACGCCTCTTCTCTCTTTTAGCCAAGTGAGATGGCGCATGCACTTTAAAAGTGAGAGGAGGCGCCATCTCACTTGGCTCCTAGGGCAAAATGCATTTTTTATAAATAATTTGTCCGTTTCTCCGTCATTCCTCACACTTTCTCGCAATGTTCTCTTATTTTTTTCTTTGTTATTTGCGTCATGACATCGCCCATGATTTTTACTAGAGATGGTTACGTTATTTTCTCCACCACAAAACCTCCGATGAAAATAAAATTCTAGCACATTCACTCCATGGAGCATCTGAAGAGGGAGTTGATGCGATGGCTAGAGGGAGACATCGAGGAGGGGGAACAAATTAGAAGGATCCAGCGAAGACGAACAGAAACCTCACTTGCGACAGGAAGACCTAATTTTTTGTTGGAGGAAGTCAAAATAGACAGCGAGGTAATGTTGATGATGCATGGGTCAGATGAAATTGTTTTAACGGTTGTAATTTCGTAGATGGTTTATCGTGTTTTATTTCTTGTTCGCGCAAGGTTTATTGTAACAAATGTTGTTAATGAAAAACCATAATATTTACAACTTAAAAAAGGAAAGATGTTTTGTAATACAATTTTTCTGTGGTTGAGCCAGTAGCCCGATTCAGACAATTTTTGCAAATGTGTCCGACCTGACGATATAAACCACACTTTCTTTCCAGCTTGTTAAGGGAGTCCATTTCAGTTGTGATGCGCTTACTTTTGGGATAACCCTTTTTATTCCTTTGCATTTGGTCATTATGCCATACTATTTCGCCGTCGTATGCAGGCTAATAATCAGGTTTTGCTACCAAAGGGAAGCTGTTGTTGTATACGTTGAGCAAGGTTTCAGATTTGTAAATGGGAGAAAGAAGTTGTAGCGTGTCTTGATGAGTATAGGAACACGTAGCAATGACATGAGAGCAAGGCATACGAAAGGCTTGAAACTTGCCACAATCGCACCAACGAGAAGATAGTATAACCCTATACTCTTGTCTTGGCAGGCCCTCATTGTGGTCGATTGTCTCTTTGACAATGAAGTTATGGTTGTGTCAGTCGAACCATATAACCATATGGGTGTTGGCTTTGGCACTTTCTGCCTTAATATACTTCATGCATATTTCACTCCATAGTTGTCCAGATTGCAACACAACATTCCATATTTCACCTCTTTTGGCAAACAATGAAGCCATCCTAAAATATGTCGATTTAATTAAAGTAGTTACTGGGAGGTTTTGTATGCCTTTGAATACCTCGTTCATGGATTCAATTAGATTTGTTGTCATGTGGCCCCATCTTTGTCCATTTTCGTATGACCTAGTCCATTTTTCTACCGGAATGTTATCGATCCACCTACTGGCATCCGGATTTGACAAATGGATCTTGTTGCGATAATATTTGAATGTAGGTTGTGTCAATGCATATCCCGCATTCATAACCGCTTTCCTAAGAGCTTTGTCTTTGATCTCCCTCGTGAAATTTTGGACGATATGTCTAATGCAATAGACATGCGTAGAAGGAGGGTTATGCCAACCGTTTGCAAGATTGTTGTATGCACTTTCAATAGATGCATGTCTATCAGAGATCAAACAGAGATCTGGTTAAGGAGTCACGTGTGTTCGGAGATTATTGAGAAAGAAGCTCCAAGCACCACCAGTCTCTCCCTCGACTAGGGCAAAGGCAATTGGGAAAATGTTATTGTTGGCATCTTGTGCAACTGCCATCAGTAGCGTGCCTTTGTATTTCCCATACAACCAAGTCCCGTCAATTTGTATAATTGGTTTGCATGACGCAAACCCTGTGATGCAAGGTTGAAAAGCCCAAAACACTCGACTGAATATTCCATTTCTGTTGAGTTGACTACCATCTGGGGCATATGTTGGCAGTGTTTCCAGAATATAAACAGTACCCAGAGAATAATTCTGAAGTGCATTCAGGTAGCGAGGAAGTTCTTGGTATGATTCCTCCCAGTTTCCATATACCTTTTCAATCGCCTTGGTCTTCGCTAACCACTCCTTTTGGTAAGACGAAGTATAGTTAAATACCGTAATGGTGTGGGAGATTATGGTTTTCACCTTCAATGATGGATCGTTGCTGACGAGGGGTAGGATTTCTTGACATATGAGATCATAATTTAGTTTCTGATGATCCTGTGATTGAGTAGAACTGACACACGTGTGGGTGGACATATAACCTATGACCCAACAATCACCTCTTAATATGTATGATGTAGTGAGCTTGAACATACAATCTGGGTGGATACACTTGATCTTGTACCTTTCTGGATTTACACGGTCCACCTTAAAATCGATCGAGTTGAGCATGTGAAATTTTTTTATGGCTCGGATACATTCTTCTCTGTTACGAAATTTGTCTTTCTCTTTTAAGTTTTCATTCGACTGCATATACGGGTTGAAAGATAAATCAGATGACGGTTCATCTCCGCCCATGTTGAAGTTTGTCATGTGCAGAGGTGGTGTATAGATCTCGTTTGAAGGAATACCAGGTATCCCATCGTCTTCGGAATCATTGTTGACCATGTCGTTAAACTACAACTCGTCATCTTCTTCTTCTTCATCAACGACATCTACTTCTGCTTGTTCGGTCTCCATAGGATCAACCACTTGTTACAGCTCAGGCTCTCGCAGCATAATGTACAACTCAATAGAGTCGTACCCAGAATACTCATGATTGGAAAACATATTCTGAAGGTCCTCATCATCTTTAACCTCAACCTTATAAAATATTATTTGGTTGTTACAAAAAAAATGGATTCGAATAAAAGATTTGTATCACGGGACCTCGTCCAAGTTTGGCCTCCAATCATTTTTTGAAATACAAGAAATTTG